ATATTTATGAAGAGAGAAAAATTTTAAGGAATTGGCTCATGATTATGGAGGCTTTAGAAGCTCAAAATCTTCAGGTGGAGACCTGGAAAAAAATTGCAACCCAAAGGCAGCCTGCTAGCAGAATTCCTCCTTGCTTGGGAAGGGCCAATCTTTGTTTTATTAAAGCCTCAGCTGCTTGGATGAGGCCTACCCACATTGTGAGGGTACTCAGCTTTACTCAAAGTCTACCAATGTCAATCTCATCTAAAAACACTGTCATAGAAACATCCAGACAATGTTTGACTAAATATCTGAGCACTATGGCTCAGCCATGCTGACACATGCAGTTAATTAACCATTACACAGGGCCTTCCCTCTGTACCTGTCTGTGTCCATATTTCCTCTCCTTATAAGGACACTAGTCATATTGGATTAGGACCCCCCCTAATGACCTCATTTAAATTTAAAATTCTGTCTCCAAATATAGTCACTCTTTGAAGTACTGGGGATTATTACTTCAACATATAAATTTGTGTAGAACATAATATAGCCTATAACAGCCTTTACCTTAAAACAGGCATAAATAGGATGGGAAAAATAGTCTTCCTAATGCTAAAAATGTGTTATTTCCTGTTACCTTAGGATAAAGCATGTTTGTGAATCCTCAGATAAACCAATTAATTGTAATAATGGAAAGTAACTTTTTCATAAATTTACATTATGAATCTAGAAGTCAGCTTCATTTTTCTTTGCCAAGGATATTTACATTATCATAGTAATTAAATATTAGGTTAAAAAAACTTTTTTATTCTGGCTATATCTGAATTTTTACCTGTTTTCATTTCATGCTTTTATATTTAAAATTAAAGAGCAATGTGTGAGATATTTTAATCTTGACTTATGAAATAATTTGAAGTCACTATTTTAAAAAGTTTCCACTTTTTCTGAAAATATAAGACATACAAATGGGAAAACTACCAATAAAAATGGAAAAGAATTAGCAAGAGAATATAAAATGAGGACAAATTAAAACCACATCTTCAATGGTTATCTCATAAATGAAATCTTGTAACATTATCTCCTAGGTTTTCTTCAGTATCCCAGTCTCTTCTATCTCTAAAATCCATTTAACAAAAGGGCAAAATATTTTCCTATCTCTGAATGAAAGAAAACAATGTTTCTGATTCTCTTTTTGCAGATAACAAGGAGGTTTTTCTTTCCAAAGCAATTCACAAGTCCTTCTTAGAGGTTAATGAAGAAGGCTCAGAAGCTGCTGCTGTCTCAGGTACTGTTTGCTAAAATCTTCTCCCCTCTTCTAAAAGATTTGTATTTTTAGAGCAATCTTGGGTGGGGAGTGGGGTCTTTTTCAAAATGAAGCCAAAAAAGTCACTCTGCTTTAACTTAGAAGTCAACCAAATGCTGAACCAGCTGGAATTTTCTAAATAGAATGTGAAATGTGAACTCACTCCAGTGCCCCTTTACAGATAACTCTCATCTTCATTTTCTCTCTAATGAGAGACAGGAGGACATTGGCAGTTCTGTGAAAATAGATTTTTCTGCTGTGCTGCCCGTTTAAATATTTTAAATATTTTCCTGCTACCCATTTAAACATTTTTCTTCTTACCAAATTACTTGCTGAAGTTGATTCTTAATTTTGTCAGTAAAAAGTTCTTATTTTTTATTTTCGTGGCTACATAGCAAGTGTATATATTTATGGAGAATTTGGGATATTTTTAATATAGGCATACAATGCATAATAATCACATCAAGATAAATGGGGTATTCATCACCTCAAGCATTTATCATTTCTTTTTATTACAAACATTTCAATTATACTTGTCTAGTTATTTTTAAATGTACAACAAATTATTGTTGACTTATAATCACTTCGATGTGCTATTAAATACTAGATCTTCATTCTATTTAACTGTATTTTCATACCCACTAACTATCCCGACATACCCCCCCCATCACTGCCACTGTTAGGATAGTGTTTTCAGAAGGAAATAAGAGCACAGTAGCCTCAGGCATCAAGACAGCTTGAAACCTTACATGTAATCTGGACTTTCTTTTGACAATTAACTATACTGCAGCAAGTATATAACAATCTTACAGTGAGGATCTCAGGGGAATTTAGTAGCCCGGTCATAGGATGCCTCGTTGCATCTCTCACTGTTATATTTCCCCTTTAATCACCACCATCCTGACCACTTACTAGAAACCTGGTGACTTGCTGTGTAAAAATACCCACTTCAGACAAAAGAAATAATGATTTGAAAATATAGAGAAACTCTCTTCAGTTTTTGTTTGGGG